TATATGAAGAGAAGACTTGGAAACGCATTAGTACTCACTTGACGAAGGGTATTACACAGAAGAAATGACTCGGTTTAAGTTTCATCTTTGCGACGGGCTCATTATCCTGTAAGTGGGCTGGAAGACTTGCCAGATAGAACCATGTTATTGCCTGCAAAGATAGCAAAGGCTACGTATAGATCCAGTTCCGTAAAAAAATATCCCATAGGAGACCTCATTCACCTCAATTTCGTTTTGCGTAGAGGGTTGAAGGCGACTGGTCCGAGGAAACCCCTCCACAATGTAGGCCCGATGTGTCGTCTCACCAACAACAACCTCGAGGTAAAGATCCTTGCCGATTCGATGTTCGATGTCGAGCCCAGTCTCCTCCATAACTTCGCGAACGGCACAGTCTTGCAAAGTCTCACTTTGACCCACCTTGCCTCCGGGGAAGGTCCACCGATTGCTGTTAAAACCTTGGACCAGAAGGACCGCGGAAAGATAGTCGTCTAGAATTATCGCACTCCCCGTGCACGTGGCCCCACGATAACGTTTCCATTCAGAAAACTTCTCTTTCCAGTTCGTCTTCTTCGGAATGAGATTTGGGAAACGAGTAAATACTAAAAAGGAGAGTAAAGAGATCACAGAGTGCGACTACAGCAGCAATGTGGCAAGCAGATCACCTACTTTCTTGACATAGACCAAAGAGATCAAGACCAACTTCATTTTTATCTTGGAGACAGTTGTCTAGGTAAAACCAATGAGCATACTCCAACTCGGAAAATATGCGAGCGAAATTGGACTTCCACTCATCTTTCAAAGACTGGGGAGTGTTTGAAATAAAGAGTCTACAAGGAGTCATAAGACAAATGGCAAACTAGGAATGAACTCACGAATACAACAGCTTAAGGGTAGGTTCAGGAATTCTAGTCGGTTGGTTTTGCATACTGAAGAATAAAAGGCAGAGATAATTCTAACACGCAAAGCTTTTCGGAAGGATTTGCGAGGTCAAGCAAAATATACAATCAACTTACTCAAATACCTCTAAACTATTAAAAGCGACTAAAACTCCTACCGGGAAGCTCCCGACCGTCCCGGGTAAAAATTAGTTAATTAAAAGCGTTTTTAGTGATGATTCGAGTTTGGACGGTAAGCACAAACAATAAGCAAGATTGAAAATCTAATCCTGTCCAATGAATCCGAAGTTGCAGTTGCATGCAAATAGATAACATAAAAATGCATTTATTTTAAGTATTCATAGTTTAACAACTGCGATTTCAATTTATAATGCTCTAAAAATTATGCTTTGAATGTCTTAAGGAGCTTGACAAATTTCTTATGAGGAATGTTCGTACGATCAATAAACAATTCATGGCTTTGATATGCTGCCATCGCAGACGGCATCAGCTTATTCACACCAATTTTGTCCTTATAATGGGATTTGGATCATTGCTGGACTCACCGCCCCACTTTGTATCTCGGAGGATAGGACGAGAAGATCTCAGAGTCAGCACGCACATACAAGAGCAAGGGAATAACGAAGTAACCACTAGATATACATCTAATACTTTGTTTATGTGACCATGTGACGTTTGGCTGGTCTTCGGGCCATGCCCAGCCCATTTGCTCTGTCGTCTTCGGAATACATGCGTCCATCTGCACTTACTGACTTCCTATACCAGCTAGGAAGTCTCGGGATGCTACAATACAAATGATCAAATACGCAAAATAAAAGAGTGTTATTTCTCCAATTACTGATTAAATTTTTGTCATCAAACAATTCACACGATGATAAGACCTATCCCCGCGATGTCCACCGGTTATTCGTTCGATTATCATCTTCTCAAGGCTTTTGGCATCTGCTTTTCCTCAAGTGAGCTTGTTTGGCCTTATCTGGGGATTTCAC